GTCAGCTAGATATAGAGACTTAAGGGATGGAAGCTCACTCAAAGAGAATAAGATACTGTTGTTCAACTTATTATTACTTAGATCAAGGGTTTCCAGATTTCTCAACTTAAAAAGCCCCTCGAAACCTGCAATACATACAATTACTAACTTAGTTTTGCAGCACATATATATTAAGGTGAAACAATAAAAAAAATAGGTTCTATAAGTCAAAGATGGACAATTATACCATCAACATGGTTAGATGCTTGGAATATGTTGCCAGCTAGATATAGGGAGTTAAGCAATAAAGTTCACTAAAAAAGAATAAGATACTATTGTTCAACTTATTATAACTTAGATCAAGGGTTTCCAGATTTCTTAACTTAGAAAGCCTCTCAAGACCTACAATACGTACAATTACTAACTTAGATTTAGAGCACATATATATTAAGATGAAATAATAAAAAAATAGGTTCTACAAGTTAAAGATGGACAATCATACCATCAGCATGGTTAGATGCTTGGAATATGTTGCCAACTAGATATAGAGACTTAAGTGATAAAAGCTCACCTAAAAATAATAAGATACTATTTTTCAACTTATTGTAACTTAGATCAAGAGTTTCCAAATTTCTCAACTTAGAAAGTCTTTTGAAACCTGTAATATGTACTAACTCAATTTTGGAGCACATATATATTAAGATGAAACAATAAATAAAAAAAGGGTTCTATAAGTCAAAGATGGACAATTATACCATCAGCATGGTTAGATGCTTGGAACTCATTGCCAACTAGATATAGAGACTTAAGCGATAAAAACTCAAAGAGAATAAGATACTATTGTTCAACTTATTGTAACTTAATTAGATCAAGGGTTTCTAGATTTCTCAACTTAGAAAGCCTTTTGAAACCTACAATATATACAATTACGAACTCAATTTTATAGCACATATATATTAAGATGAAACAATAAAAAAAAAAAAATAGGTTCTATAAGTCAAAGATGGACAATTATACCATAAGTATGATTAGATTCTTGGAACTCGTTGCTAGCTAAATATAGAGACTTGAGCAATAAAAGCTCACTCAAAGATGGCAAAATATTGTTATTGAAGAAATTATCTTCCAAATTCAGGATTTCCAAATTCCTCAACTTCTTTGAAAGCTTAAGAAAACCTGCAAACAGATCACGTGACTTGTAATTTTGGTTCAATTAAGAAATAGCAAATAAATAACAT